CCTCTGCCGTCCTCTTCTCCTTTTGCCTTCAGTCTTTCCCAGCATCAGGGTCTTTTCCAACCTTGCAGGGCTATAAAACTTAACTACCATGGACTTGGGTTAACTGAGACTCCTCTTCCTTTGCAGGATTGGAGCAATATAACACTTGGAAAATCCACATATATGGCTGCATATATGTCAGCAACCTAAATTTCATATGATTGGGGGACTAGACTAAATTGGAAAAAATTACAATGAAGGTTTTCAATCTTAGAATTTAACATATTAACCACCCCAAACTCAAGTAATTCTAATTGCTAATTTTGCAGGACTCCAGACAGCGAGTGTGATCATAGCCCTTACTGATGGAGAGCTGCAAGAGGCTCAGTTTTATTATGCAGAGAAAGAAGTAAGTCCTTTCTGAATATACACCAGTGCCCATCTACCTGACTCAGCTAAAATATATAAGATTTCTAACACTGTTTCTCATCTAGGCTGACAGAGCAAGAATGCTTGGAGCAATTGTCTATTGTATTGGGGTGAAAGACTTCAATGAAACTCAGGTAATTTTGATTTTTTTTTCTTTTTAGTACCAGTAGAGGTCCATTACTTTTAAAGGTTTAAATTATTACTGTTCAAAGAACTGAAAATCAAGAAATGTAGTAATAAAATGACTCAAATTGGATCAAAGGGCTAAGAAAATGTCATCAGCACAGATGATGGAGAAGCCTCTTTTGCCAGCAGCTGTACATCTGAACTCCAATGGAAAATGGCCTTTTGGAAAGATCCTCTTTGGGCAAGGAAACCAGGGGTTTTCCATTGGTCTGGTCCCAAGCCATGAAGGCCTTTAAAGTTCCAAACTGTTACCTCAGAAGCTGGCCAGAAGCTAACTGTTTTTAAAGAGATCCATAATAATGTACTCCTTCTATTATATATGCACTCAGCACCTATGCTTAGCAGGCTCTTGTTCTTTTTCTTTGTGGCTCTTTTGTTTGAGTCCATATGCTTACTAGGAATTACTTTACCTCATTCAGGTGATACAACATGGGTATGACTGTGGTAGTAGGGTTTGTGCTACTCCTGGAAGGAAGGGTGTGCAAACGTGACGGCAAAGGTAGACCATCTGCCTGCTTTCTGGCTCAGGGGGCAAGAGTTACTACCACTTGCAACCATGGGGCTGCTGATGGAACTCTAAGAGCATCGCTGTTTTGCAAAAGGCTCATAGCACCTTTGCTTAGGAGAAATAGAACATGCTAGCAAATAGTTTGAGGAGAACTGGGGTGTATTGGTGTGCCCCTGCTTATGTGCCAGCTCCAGACCTGGGACCCTCCTTTTTTGCAACATGCTGTTGTTCTGATTTAGATCTACTTTGCATTTTATGTATATATTTTATCTTCAATATAACCAGGAACCACAAATAATATAAATAAATATAAGCCCTTTACATACAACTTTTCTGGAATGAAATTCAGTTGTTTGGGTGTTGGCTTGGAAGTTAAAGAATCATAGTGTTGGAAGGGACTTTTAAAGGTCCCTTCCAACTCTATGATTCTTTAACTTCCAAGCCAACATAGATACCACCTTCTACAAATACAGAAAACCTACCCAAATTCAATTTTTACTTTCAGCTTATCTTAGTCTATTTTGTTTTATTACCTTAGATCTTTTACAGTATTAGTTTTGGGTCTCCCTGGCCTTGCCTCTGCAATACTGTATTGGGAATTTTTCTTTTGTACTAAATAATTACAAATTGTTATAGTGATAACAATGTGAAATACAGTAAGCCTTCAAAGAGTTCTCTATACATACCAGCCTATTTATTATTTAAGAAATGTGTATATCATTTAAAGGGGATACTTCTGAATTGCCCTGGTCTTTATTCTTCATCAGATTCTACTTCAGATGAGTATTTCTATTATCTCTTTGTGTTGGACGAGATTACTGTGTTCACGCATTATATTAAGCCATGGTTTGTTTTAACCAAGATTTGCTGAACAAGCCAGAAGCAAACCTGCCTCAATCTTGCAGATGAGCAAAGTGCCTTTTTTTTTGGCCAATTTATTATTTGTTTTCTTTTCTTTTTTTTTAGCTGCTCTTACTATGCACTGTGGATTGGTTAAAAGCCAAGTTTAAAAACCCATGGGTAAATCAAGGAACCATAAAGAAATCAGGTGTCCCCATTTGTATACTGTACTGTTGCAGTCAATAAACTCAGCAATAAATCATGGTTTCAAAATATGGTTTCCTGCTCTAAAACAAGCTAGCACATCAGCTTGTGCATTACACTAGACCAAAAAAACCAAACTCTCTGATGGTATGTGAACCCAGCCAGTCCCATGCAGAGGAGTGTAAGTGGCCAAAGCTCAGAAGACAGGGCTTAGTTTTCCATCTGTTTTCTAAACTGGATGTTCTTTCTGGTACCATTTGTGCATGTCTTTGCAGCTGTCAACCATTGCAGACAGCATTGATCACGTTTTCCCCGTGGCTGGTGGATTTTATGCTCTCAGAGGTACCATAGATTCAGTAAGTAGGATATCCTATTTAGAAAACTCAAAAAATTGTGACTTTTCTTGATTTGTTAAATCAGTGAATGGCAAATTCCATTATTTCAATCTTGCAGATTCTGAAGAAATCGTGCATTGAGATACTGGCAGCTGAACCATCGAGCATCTGTGCAGGAGGTGAATTCGTCAAAATCAATACCACAGGGATGCACAAGGCACTTAACTCTTTGCTATGCAATGCATGATGAGAATAAAGCTGGTTGTGGCTTTGATTCTCAGTGTGCCAATGCTTTCTTTAACAGAGCATAACCATCCTTTAGAATTACCTTTCCTCATCATGCATTACAAATTGTGACATGTATTGTATAGGGATTGACATAATATATAGGATCGTATACGATTGACATAATCTGAAATAGCAAAGCTCACTGATCAGCTGCCAGACTCTGATTTCATCTAATAAAAATCAACTGAAGCTTTCTTTTTTGGTGGGGAGGGGATGATAGAAAAAACAGTTGGGTTGTGGGCAGATGAGAGTAGGAAGCGGCTTTTTCTGTCTTGGGGATTCACAGCCTTTGGGAGTGCAGGTCTTGCAGCCTAAAGTAACTGAGGTTTAGGAATATGTGCTGTATTTCAGAATAGGATAAAATCTAGATAGTTGTTCTATAACATTATTATATATAATATTAATATATTATTAGTTCATATATCTGGTTTTTTTATTATTTCATTGTGGGTTTTGCAAGTCTGAATCCTCTTTATATCCTGCCTAATTACTATAAATCTAATTCATAGAATAAAGTATTTGGAAATAGTAGATCTGTTTTGATCTACTGTTGTTCAAAATGTTCTTATATTCCAAGGGGAGACATTTCCAAGCACCCTGCCTTCAACAGTATGGTGTATGTTTTATTCCTCAAAAATTTTGTGCATAATTCATTAGAGAGAGAAAGTATATTTGGGGAGTCCTATTAGCCCCAGTTGGGGGGAGAGGAGGGGGCCAGCCAAATGATCTCAGAAGTTGAGGTGGTGGCAATTTGACTACAAAAGCAACAATCAATACGTTTTGCTGCTTAGATTATTCAACTTTTGGGGAAAACTTGGGAAAATTTTTAATGTTTTGTTCTATATGTTTTCAGTAAATGTTATGCTCAGTAGTAACCTTCAGTGAATATGAGTCCAATTTGGGGGTCAATAAGCAGAAGGCAGTTGTGGCTAGGAGGGCCTTTGCACAAATTCGTATTGTGTGCCAGTTGCGCCCATTCCTAGATTGAGAAGCCCTACTCAAGGTTACTCATGCCCTGGTCATCTCCCAGTTGGATTACTGTAATGCATTCTACATGGGACTACCCTTGAAGATTATCTGGAAACTTCAGCTAGTGCAAAATGCAGCGACGCGAGCAGCTATGTATGCTTCTGGTAGAACACACATGAGACCTCTGCTTTGCGGGGTGTATTGGTTACCAGTTTGTTTCTGGATCCAATTCAAAGTGCTGGTGTTGACCTTTAAAACCCTACATGGCATGGGACCGGGTTACCTGAGGGACTGCATCTTCCCGATTACATCTGCCTGTCCCACCAGATCTGGCAGAGAGGACATGTTACGGGTTCTGCTGTCAAGGGAGCTACATTTGGTGGGCCCTAGATGGCAGGTGTTTTCTGCTGTGGTGCCCATGTTGTGGAATATTCTCCTTCCTGAGGTGAGGTTGACTCCATCACTTCTGATCTTCTGCAGGTCCCTCAAGACCTGGTTGTGCCATCAGGCCTGGGACCCCAGGGGGACTGGTGAATTAGTGAGGTGGCTTCATTATTATTAACATCCCTTCGCCTATTATTTCTTTGTCTGAGCTTTATTTTTTATAGTTTTTAATGTTTTTAACAATAGTAATTGATAACTGTTTTAGGTATTTATTGTTTTAGCTTTGTTGTACACCGCCCAGAATCACTTCTTGTGAGATGGGCGGCTATATAAATTGGACAAATAAATAAATGAATTGGACAAATAAATAAACAAATTGGACAAATAAATCCTGCTAGTAAGTAGAACTGTAATTGCCAGGAGTCAGGTTTGACTTACAGAAGGGATTATTTTTTTCATTTTATAAATGGTACTTTGGGCTTTGTATATTTCCCAGTTTCTTCAGTGAATAGTGAATATTGACTATACTTAAGCTGGGTTTGAAATAACAAAAATAAATGTTGGCTGAGCTAGAGATTGAGATTGTCTAACTAGATTCTGACAGTTTTCTAATGCCAAATGTGATCCAATTTGTAGCCCCTGATTAATAGCCCACATTACAAATTTAGATAATTGTTTCTTCTCTTGACTGAATGTATCCAAGCAGTGTACACCATGTAAGGTCTTAGAGGTTTGCAGCTGCTTCATTGCTTTGACTGTGCTAGCAGTATTTAGCTTGACTGAAAAGTTGTGCTAGATGTGAAATCCAGTTGTCAGCTTCTAGGTGTTGATGCAAATAGTCAGCTTCCTTAGCAGAAGTAAGCTTCATTCCCATCAGCTTCATTCTACCATATGATGGCCAACACCCGCCTGCCTATTTCTTGGTGACCTTTTTCTGGTCATTGTCTTGTCAAAATCAGTGATTTGAATCTGACAATAATGAAGGAAGAAAAGGAAGAGTTGGAGCCTTAAATGAAACAGAATTAGCCATTTCGACTTGGCCAAGGTATTCAGATGCAAGTTGCACTGCATGACATTCAGAATAAGCAGAAGGTGACAAGCCATAGGTCTTCTGTTCTTCTAATCTGTGATAGAAAAATGAAGTCTTCTTTGCTCCTGTGAATAGAAGTGGAAACCAAAATATTATTATTTGATGGATTGCCTTGAAGGAAGGAAAAATAAATAGGGCAATAGGTGAAGGGAGGATAAAATGGAAGAAAGAAGGAAGGTTATCACAATTTCCTATCTACAGAATTCTACATGAATCTTTTGTGTTTGCTGCCTTCTTTCTTTTTAAAAAAAACATTCAGTAGTGATTATCATTACCAAATGTATTTATCATAAAAAAAAAAAACCTTTATAACAAATTTAACAAATGAGTTTTCTGTCTCCCGTTGTTGAGTAGGTAATTTCAGAATAATGTCTGGTCTGTCTCTACTCTTTCTTGCAGAACTCTTTTAGGTTAGAAATATTTGGGGTGTGAGTATGTGCAAGAGGTTGCAATTCAGAGGGAAAGCCCTTGAAAGGCTCCTCATGGAATACTGATTAGGGTAGAGGGCTGATTAGGACTGATTAGGGTAGAGGTTGCTGGCATAGCTAGCCTTGGCAGCAGAGGAGGTGGAGTTCATTGGGGTGACCATCTCACAGATGCTTAATATTTGTTAGGAGAATGAACAGCAGATTAGTCCCCTGACAATAAGCAAAACTAGTAGATTATGTGAACATGGTAAATTGTGATGGGAGATTTTCAACTGAACTCACTTGAGAACATGAACAAATTTACCCTATGAATGTATTGTAAATACATTTTGTAATACTGTGAAAATGAACAATAATTATCTTTTATTGTTTTCATTAGTAAATTACAGATTTTTATTTTATGTGTAATTTATAAATTAAAAATTATAAAATTTGTAAAATTGAAAATAGTTAAAATTTACCAAAAATAAATATGCAATTTCTAAATATTTCATTTAATAGATACCATTTCACTACTTAGAAGAGAAAAAAATAAGAGGGACAACAAATCTAAAATTGATTGATTTAGTTCCAAGTGAATTAATTTCTGATTCTATCGATAAATTAAATGTAATGGTATCATAAGATAATAGACTTTATCTTAAATTAACATTAATGAGTAAGCTGTTGGTTATACCCTAAGACATAACATGGAGTACTGAATTTGCTGTTTAGTCTATTTTCTTTTACAATATTTCTGAGTTTATACATCTATAAAATCTCTGCCAACTAGGTAAGGAAAGAATGCATAGCATGGCTTCTGAAACTCTTGTCAGCCCCTTTACAGCAGTGACCACACTCTTTTCTTCTCTCATGTGTTGGTGTCTGTGTGTGCGCTTCTGCTCTCACCGTGTGTTTGACTGCGTGGGTGCACTTTCTCTCCAGCATCTGTTCAGGGTGTATTCCCTACATGATGTATCTGCATGAATTTGTCTGTTTGCATGTTCTCCCCAGGCCTAAACAGGTATGTGCATATGTGTTGCCCATGTGGGGGTTTATTTCTGCTGTCTCCATGTGCAGCATCGCCATGTGCTTGTATGTATGCACTTTCTCCCCAGGATCTAATCAGGACGGGTACATAGGTGGTGTTCCTATGTATGTGTGAGAAAGAGAGGGGGTCTAATCAGGGAGGTGCATACATGTTGCCACTTTGTGTGTCTGTGTTGTGTCTTGTGTCTTTGTGGGCATGAGTGCACAGGACAGGCGGCCTACAGGAAGCACGCAGACAGAGCATAGCCTCTAGGATTCCTTCCAATGCCTTAATTATAGTTCTCCTTTGGGTCATGTGATCAGGAGGGAGGGGGCTAAGGAGCTGCTGCCCCACTGCCTCGCCCCCAGGGTTTCAGTGAGCAATTTCTTCTAGATTTTTTTGCTCTGCCACCCCAACTGGGTCCAGTCCATTTTCAAACACACCAAATTTGGCCCTGTTTCATACTACTTTCACAGGGTTATCCTGCTGATGGACAGACACTGAGAGTGAACTTTAAACCTTTATGTATTTTACTTCCAACATCCCGGTGGGCTGGAAATAATAAAAAGCAATCTAGCCTTTGCTCAGTCACAGAAATGTACTGTTCTCCCTTTCACAATATGACTCAGTTTTGAGACTAGCATCTATGATTTTGTGTTTTTGATATGAGTGTATTAGGACTATTAAGTATTGCATAATTAATTATGGACTTAATCTTCATTTATAGTGCTCTGTAATTGAATATATTGCTAGCAGGAAGATAGTATTTTCATGTAAAAATAACAACTGAAAAACAGGTAGGGCAACAGAATTAGAAATCAGGCCACTTGGAATTAAATGCAATGCTAATAACCTTAAAATCTTAAAACATTATTTATGCAGAGCATCAAAAGCTAAGTAATTTTATAGAAAGGAAGAGACAAGCTCAGAAAAAAACTGAAGTCACAGTTCAAAAATATGGTATTTCAGAGGACATAACTGAACCCTTTTAATATTCTTTTGTATTGTTTAATGATTTTGTGGCACTATTGTATATTTACACAATGTTTTTTACTCCTTGTTTTTCATCTTCCACTGTGGCTATTTGTTAAGGTGTTAGACCAGAACTGGGGAAACCCAGGTCCAAGTCCAACTAAAGTTGTAAAAGTCCCCTTAGTAACTTTGGGCCAGCCCAACCTACCTCACAGAGTTGTTGTAGGGGAAAATGGGAAGAGGAAGTACTATATACAATATGTTGTTTGAGCTTGTGAAAAATGGAGGATATAAGTCTAACAAATAAATTAATAAATATTATTGGACGCCAGTCTTCTTCTCATCATAGTATTCTACCTTTACAGAATCCTACCAAGTGGTGGTGAAAGGCAATGGCTTTTACTATGCAAGGAATATTGATCAAGTGCTCTGCAGTTTCAAGATCAATAATAGTATCACTCTAAGTAAGTTGGCCAATCAATGGAAGAAAATGTCATGGTCCTGGCAAAGTGACAAGGCTACTTCTATGATTTTCATCATAGTGGTGGCTTCCAGAAGCTTCTGGCTCTGTGAATGTCAAGTAGAACACACACACAAACACACATTTAACATAGCCACACTACAGAGAAACAAAAAGACACTGGGCAGAGCTATGCCATTAGTTAGTTGACCCCCGGCCCCTGAAAATAGTATCTCAGTTCGTAGTGCTTTCAGGGATATTCAGGTGATCCATCAGTCTTGTCACGCATTGAGATATTTCTAGCCCATCACCTGTTTATATCACACACCCAAAATATGTGAGTTTCCTCAAGGGGACAATAGGTCTTTTATTTTGCTCAACAGCAGTTGATTGGTTCTACTTGCAGTCTGTAGTCTCACATTCCATGTTCCAGTTGTATGTGTCCTTGTAAAACAAAGAACTTTTTCAATACTAGCACCATCAGTGACTGGAGTTGCTTGTGACTTTGATCTGGCTACATCATCCAGATGTACTTGGTAAAGTTTGCCATTATTTCCAAGAAAAAGGAGTGCTTTCCAACCTGGGGGCAGGTCAGGGGGTGTCATTATCCAGCACCCAAGTTTATCTAAATGTTTCAGCCACGGGCATAATTTTCTTGGCAACAACAGAGAAGTGATTTGCCAGTGATTTCTTCTGAAAATGATTTTGGGAATTCCTTGGGCTTTTTTCACGTCTACAGAGACCTAATTACTCTTATCCCTATTGTCGATCACCCTTAGTTTTACCCCTTTCTGTGCTACCTTGCAAGCGAGTGAGATCTACCAGGAGCTCCTACTCCCACTAGCATTGCTGTTACGGGCATTGATGCTTCTGGGCCCTCACCCCACATCAAGGCCACTGTGCCACGGCAGGCATCTTAACCTACCCCTTTAGCCTAACCTCTTCCTTTATTAGGGTTCCTGGTGTGGCTGTTTATATACAAAGCAAGATGTATTTTGTTTCTTATCTTTTTTTCAGATGAAAAGCCAACAATTGTTCAAGATACATATTTACTCTGCCCTGCTCCAGTAATAAAAGATGTGGGACAGTGAGTATATCATAATTTGGTCTGTACACATTAGTTTTCATTTCAGAATTAAGAAGCTCTTTGCTTTAATCCTGCTAGGAATATACCCAGGGCAGAGACCTGACTGCTTGCACAAGGTAGACTGTACCTGCTAAGCTTAGTTTTAAGGGGAAGAAAGATGAAGAAAATTGGAAATTACAAGCCAAATTATCTTAATTCAAGAAAGTACTGTTTGTTTCAATCCAGGAAGAGATAGAACTATGTGAACAAAAGAAAGATTTTAGAAATACAGGGCAGAAAAGGAAAAAAAGGGAGTAATCATAATGGAAATCTAGTGCAGATTTAATAGGGATTGAATATTTTTGAATCTGGGAAATAATTCTGAGTAAACAGGTATAGGGCTGGGCTACAGAAAAACTAAGTTTTAGTACAGAGTGGAAGAGCTTGGGGCTCTCCAGATGTCACTGAATGGCACTCAGCATCCTTTGCTACTGACCACTCTGATTGCAAGTGAGGAGAGCAAAATCAGAGGGGCCACAAGTTCTTGACTCCTCTTTTAACAGAAAGCAAGCCGTTGTGTAATTGTCTCACTCCTTTCAATTTACAGCATGGCCATTATCCCTGCTTTTGTTACTCAATGGAGCAGCATTTTATAAATCGACAAACATAAAAAATGCCTTGTTCAATTAAACTAAGGTCTGTCTCATCCTGTTTCTCACAGAGGCCATCCAAATGTCTCTGAAAAGTATACAAGAAAGGCATGCAGATGATGTCTCCAGGCTCTGCCGAAACAGTGGCTCTTGAGGCGCAAAATCCCTCTCATTTGAGAGCCAGCAGGGCTAGCTGTCTAAGGACACCTGTGCTAGTTTCCACCCAGTATTTTATGGCAGTAAAGTATATCCATTAATCCAATATGTGAGAAACTATTTTTTCTGCCAGATCACCTCCAGTTCTAAATACTGTACATTATTTTGAGAAAAGGAGAATGGCTGTTGATCTGTTTTTACTGTGCATAAATTTAAATGCCGATGTCATAGTCCTCCCTTACTTTTTAAATCAAAACCTCAATTGCTCTGGTTCCCAATTATTTTGGTGACTGTTTTTGCATCCTTCTTGCTGCTACAATGTCTTTTGAGAAGGGACTATAAGAGCTGTATGTAGGAATAGTTGTGAAACATAGATACACTGTAAATGTAGTCTGTAGGCCTGTTATTTTTTTAATCTCTTTCCTAATTTTCTCTTGGGTGAAATTACACTTTTTATAGTTGTAGCTGCTCCCTTTTCCCAGTCAGTACTTCCAGTGTCCAATACTAGTTATTCATATTTCAGAGTGGCCAGACACAGAAAAAGGAGAAACCCTGAGAAGATAAAAAATATAACCAGTGAACATGTTCTCATGGGGTGCCAGCTCTTATTTCTCTGTGCTTTGAGAAACGTCTGTTTATCCCTTTACTTTCTGCTTCCTGTTCTGTAATCCGTATATATCCATAAAAGAGCTTCCTGTTTGATTACTTTTAAGCCTACCCAGAAGCTTATGATGAAGAATTTTGTCAAAAGCTGTTTGTAAATCCAAGTACATTGTTGGATCCTCAGAGTTTGATAGTAAACAGTGAAAACTAAAATGGCCAAACAGAGAAAATTCTTTGGCTTGAGTATTTCTTAAGCTGCATTATGGGATGGGCTGTTCTTTTAACAAATGTCTCTGTTGATACTTCAGGGTGATTTTCCTGCAAGTCAGTATGAACAATGGGCTAACATTTATCACAAGTGCAGTCAGCGTTACCAGCACCAACTGTGTAAGTATGAACCATGCTGAAACTGGGAGTGGTGGAAGGGGGAGATTGCACTGCACTTTATTTATGTGCACTTTAAAATATCCAACATGAAGTGAAGACCAAGTTCAAGAAATTGGTATGTGCTCCTGTCGTCCACAGGAAGCAAATGTGCCCCTCCTGCATAATTCCAGGCTGGTAGAGGGGTTAAGGTGTTGGACTAGCACTGGGGAAACCCTTCATCAGTTTACATGAAAGCAAAAGTTCAATAGTCGATTTCTTCTAAAATGGCCATGCTGCTCTCTGCACCAGCTGCCATTTTCCACACCCTTCAAGGGCAGCCTCATGTCTCACAGTCCTCCAGCTGAGAGAAGAGGTCCCAAAGTTAGTGATCCTTTTTGCTCAGCTAGCTGCTAGACCATGCCATTTTCCCTCATGGCAAACTCTTCTTTTGGGGAGAACCACTCAGAACAAACCCCACATCTAAAGGGTGAATGCCCAAGGAGAGGATTCCAAACACACATTTGCATCTTGTTCTACTTTTCGTATTCTTATGCTTATTTCGTATCATTTTGCGACACTATCCAGTTCATTTTCTCCTCTCTTTCCCCACCTGGAAATGACTTTAACTCACCTTAACTGAATCTGTTCTTGTTTCTTACACAGTAAGTGTCTCTAACCCACTCTTCTCATTTGAAACCAGCTAGTATTTATTTTCTTCCAGAAATTTTATCATCTTGATGATCTGTATATTGAGGTTCCTTTCCTATCTCATCGCACTGATCTTTGTGGCTTATTACAGTGTTGTTTGTTCATTTGTTTGAAATCTCTTTTTTGTGAAATAATTTTAGAGTGAAAGTCTTCACTACAGTTATGTGTTCTACTGAATCTGCAGATGATTCTATAAGCCCTCAGTTTAACAAACCAATTAGGCCAGAGCAGAATATCCATTAAATACAAATGAGATTTTATGCTTTTTATTTATTTTACTTATATTTATACCTTCCACTATTGTAAGATTCCCAGCAGTTTACAGTAATTACAACACAAACATTAAAATAGAATGTCCATGATAGAAACAATATATATACACTGCGTGCACAATTATTAGGCAAGTTGTATTTTTGAGGATGAATTTCATTATT